AAAAGAGAGGGGGGGGGGGGGGGGGGTGGGGGGTATTTTTTGCTTGGTATTGGGGTTGAGAGACTTAGCTCGGCAAATAGGCAAGCATATTTTATCTTGCTCATTATTATTATGCAAGCATTTCTTATCCTTTTATTTTTCATGATCGCCTTATTTTTCATAATCGGCAAGTGTTCATTTCTTCTATGCTTGGGTTGTTTACTCACCCATTATTTTATTCTCCTGTCTATCCAGAATCTTTATTGGTCGCTCCTCATAAGATAGGTTTGTCCCAATTTGGAGCTATGTGATATCTAGGACGTGGGTCTCATCTCGCACATATCGTCGAGACTGTGATATATGGAATACATCATGTGCTCCTTCTAACGACGGAGGCAAAGCTAGCCGGTATGTCACATCTCCTACTTTCTCCAATATCTCAAAAGGACCGATGAAACACGGACTAAACTTCCCACGGCTGCCAAATCTGATAACTCCTCTGGTTGGGGATATCCTCAAGAAAACATGCTCTCCAACCTGAAACTTTAGAGGTCTCCTCTTAGCATCAGCCCAGCTCTTCTGTCTATCCTGAGCCGACCTAAGGCGCTCCCATATTGCATTTATCTTGTCTACTGTCTGCACTATCATCTCAGGACCTAGCAAACGTCACTCTCCTAAGTCATCCCAACATGTAAGATATCTACATTTTCTTCCATATAATACCTCATAAAGTGCCATCTAGATACTGGCCTGATAACTGTTATTATAAGAAAACTCCACCAAGTGTAAGTGGTCTTCCTAAGGGCCCTTGAAATCTAGCATGTACGCCTACAGCATGTCCTCCAGTATCTGTATAGTCCTCTCCGATTGTCCATCTGTCTAAGGGTGGTACGCCGTGCTGTAACTCAGTCTAGTCCCAAGACACTGCTACAAGCTCCTCCAACAGTATGATAAAAAATCATGTTTCTATCAAAAACAACGCTAACCGGTACTCCATACAAGCGTACTATCTCCCTTATGTACAGCTTCGCTAAACTCTCCGTCGTTTGTCCAACTCAAAATGGTATGAAGCGAGCAAACTTGGTGAGTCGATCTACTACTACCCATACGACGTTGTTTCCCTTCTGGCTCCTCGGCAGAGCTGTGACAAAGTCTATTGTAACATGTTCTCACTTTCATTCGGGAATAAGAAGAGGCTGCAATAACCCGGCTATCCTTTGATGCTCGGCCTTCACTTGCTGACATATTAGGCATTTTGACACAAATAGGGCTATCTCCATCTTCATTTCTGGCCACCAGTAATGTTCCCTCAAGTCCCGGTACATCTTTGTAGCCCCTGGATGAATATAAAGCACTGAACTGTGCGCCTCCTCCAACAATTCTCTTTTGACCTCGCCTTTAGGTACACACAGCCTACCACGGAATCGCAAGGATCCATCCTCATATATTTGTAGATTAGTTCTTTCCCCAGACTCCACTTGTTTCTTAAATTTTTCGTACCGAGCATCCTCGAATTGGGTAGCCTTGATCCGGTCCACCAGAGTTGATTGTAATTGCAAACTCATCAACTATCTCCATGTTCCAGGCAATATAATCTCCATGTTCATCCCCCAGAACTCAACTAGCAATTCCCGCTGTCTAGTGAGTCTCATCATCACAGGTTTCCTGCTCAAATGATCTGGCACTATATTAACTCGTCCTGGGTGATATTGTAAATTAAGATCGTAATCTTCCATAAGCTCTAACCACCTCTGTTGCCTCAGGTTGAGCTCCTTTTGAGTGAAGATATACCTTAAACTTTTATGATTTGTGTACACCTCCACTCTCTGCCCTAAAAGATAGTGTCGTAATAGCTTCAATGCAAAAATTACCGTCGCTAATTCTAGATCATGAATCGGATAGTTCCTCTCGTGTTTTCAGTTGTCTAGATGCATAAACTACTACATTTTCATGTTGAATCAGAACACAACCTAAGCCCAAACCTGAAGCATCTGTGTGTACTACAAATCCTCCTGACTCATTTGGAATTGTCAAAACTGGTGTCGTCAACTTGTTCTTTAACTCCTCAAATGCTACTTGACACTCCTGAGTCCACACAAACTTGAATAGTGACACCGTCTGTGAACAGTAACACCGACGATGAATAGTAGTTTATAAATTAGGGATTTGATCTAAAGTTCTATTCATCAATTTTTATCAAGATCAAGTCTTTTCCTCATTTGTATCTAAAGTTCTATTCATCAATTTAGGGTTTAATCTATCAAAATTAAAATTAACTGGGATGGGATTGGAAAAAGATAAACTTGCATTTATTAAACTCTGAAATTGAAATCCATATCTGTTCCTTCTCTTTAAGTAGCCAAATTTTCATCCCTCTTTTCCTTTCTTTTCTTCCTCTCTCTCACTCACTCTCTCTTTCTCTTTCTCTCTCTTTTATTTCTCCCGTGAGTTTGTGGGGAGAGTGAAATTTAGGGTCCTTTTTATAGAGGACGAGGGAGGGTAGGTGGATGGTGGTAGGTGAAGTTAGGTGAAATAATACTTTCAACAGTACACAATAACACTAGATGTAATACCCATTAAAGTTTCATTTTTCCTAACCTACCTAACCTCTTGCCTAACCCCTTCGACTATCCCTAACTCCCCCTAACTCTCCCAAATTTCACCTAGCAACAAATTGACTAATCACCCACTAACACTTATAAAGCTCTTTTTGCCTCACGGAAGGGAAAAAACAGAAGAGAAGAGAGAGAGAGAGAGAGAGAGGAGTAGGGAATTTTTGCTTGGTATTAGGGTTGAGAGACTTAGCTCGGCAAATAGACAAACATATTTTATCTTGCTCATTATTATTATGCAAGCATTTCTTATCCTTTTATTTTTCATGATCGCCTTATTTTTCATAATCGGCAAGTGTTCATTTCTTCAATGCTTGAGTTGTTTACTCAACCATTATTTTAATCTTACCTTGTTTATGATCCTTTCACTCGAAAATTTTTGTCTGATCCAAAATCTCTATTCATTATCTTACTCCTTGTTCATGCATGATTGATAAATAAATTCCCAAATCTATTTTTACATAAGCATAAATCTATATGTAATTCTACTGTATGACATCCAAAATGGTAAGAGTCGTAAATAACTGATGGCAAGAGCTGTAAATAAAATGATGGCAAGAGCTGTAAATAGGTTGAAGATTTGACGTAAGCGATTTGGTTACTTGGTGAAGGGGTTTCATTAGCGACTTAGTTTAGTCAGTTAAAGTACCGACTTGCTACACCAATAAAAGAGAAAACAACCCTCTAGTGATAGGTATGCTCTCGTACTAAATATGAAAGAATATTAAGTGATGTGAGTTGGTGAAAATAAAGTGTCATGTGAGTGCTCTGAGTGTTTGCTTTCCTTTTTGCTTGCATTCTAATGATGAGGCAACTTTAAGTGTTATTATTTATGGAGGATTTAACAAATGGATACAACTATTTGCTTATCTTTTATGATCTCAAATATTGTAAGTAACGATGCAAAACCAGTGAATCTTCTTGTGGATAATCTAACAATGAGGTGGAATTGACCATAAAGTGGAGGATTTAATCTAATACAAGGATAAGTGAGCAATTAGAATGATAATGCTATCCTTTTTATGTGTCTTCATGTTGGTGGAAACATGTGGGTTTGTTTAGATAAAGTATTAAAATATTGTGTATGATTTCTATACTTTGATGTGATATTTATGACACAAGTACCAACCCAATGACGTTTCCTTTGCATATCAGGAGCTTGATGTCATATATTAGTTCAAGTTTTATAGAACACCACTCTCCTCAATGAACCTATATGTACTGTGTTTGACATGCATGACTTTATAGAAAATGGTTGCTTGATCACCTAGTTGTCATCCAATAGGAGAGACTGTGCATGAAGACGACTTCTGTTAAAAATGTGATTTATAAGTGTGCTCTCATAGCATGGCTATACCCTCGATATTGATATCCAGATATGAGGTTTTTCTTAGCTATTACTATGATAGCATCGACTAGATGATGCACCCATCTTGATTGGACATGTTCTGGGTCATGGTTATTTTTCATAGTTTTATGGAAGTTATTTCACGGTAACTCTGTGGCTAGTGCACAACATTTCATGCATAGTTACTTAAATAAAGATACAAATATGGGGTTTAATAAAGGGCAATTGGACGGAGAATATATAAGGTATATAAACGGGCTCATGCGCTTTCCTGATAATCTTGAGTTATATATACAAGGGTCAATACTTGACTTGAAGCCATATTCCCGAGATATGTTTCGGGAAGACCCATTTATATACATGATACTATTCCCCTCTAATTCAAATAACACTTAAAATAAGAATAATGTGATTGTGTGTCTTCTGGTAGCCTTTGTTTGATATCTACAATTAGCATTTTCCTTTATCAGTTTTAATTGAGATTCTATCTTTTCTTTATACATGTCAACACTTACATTTCATGCACAATTTCCTCATTTTACATGCTTGCTAGGAGTTTCTGACTCTCCTGGGGTTTGCACGCCCCAGACTCGGGACTGTTCTTTCTTCGCAGGACCGAGAGTACTTTGGGGATCAGGCTTAGCGACAATGATCACCTGTTGTCCTATCACTCTCTCAGTTTCAGTTTATTTAGGTAGTCTTTATTTTTAGACTTTTCCTGTAACCACCTGTAGTGTTCCAGACTATGATATATTTTTCTTTTTCCTACTTTGGATAGTTGTGGACATGTAAGAGAACTCTGTCTTTTCAGATATTTCTTTATCTATCTATTTTCTTAGGTACATACTCTATGTAGTAGTTCTTTTGGCAATATATATGTATACAGGATGATCCAGAGACGTGAATGTGACTGTATGGTTACATTGCCGGCCGAATCACGCTCCAAATTATTTAAATTGGAACCAAGGCGTGACAATATACGTGTTACAATCAGGGCGCTTGCCTTTCCGTCTACTGGATTTACCCCCACCAACATCTGTCTTAAAGGTAAAGACAGAACTATGAAACCTAAGAAAATCAATATTAAGAAAATTATGATTCTGTATGTGAATCTTCAATTGGTAAAACATACCTTGTCCATGAGCCAATAACCGATTGTTGGCATGTATTGCACCAAGTACATAACTAGTAGGACGGGCTGCAAGATGTATATTTCAAATTGAGTCAGAACCAATGGTGAAAGGAAAATCAAGATCAAGACATTGAATTGTGAAAGAAGAAAGAAAACGTGAATGTTAATGTGTTGTTGTCTTTATCTTTGTTCTCAACTTCTAAACCTCACCATTTTTCAGCATTGCTATCTAGCAGTATAAATTAAAGTTAACATAGACAACTCCAGTATCAATAAATTATCTGTTTTATACATGACTCGTAACAAATCCCTGCAGGAGTGTCGCTGTACTAGTGGTAAAGCCTCTCACTATCATGCAAGATGTTTGGGTATATGAATCGCCTCAAGTAAGGTCCAGTACAATGATAATTAATAATGTAAAAAGAAGGGGGGAAAGTGTGTAACCTGATATGATATCCAAGCTTCCTTTAACCCATGACTAGCAGCAATAATTGTCAGCTCAGCACATCTTTCTGATGACACACGCTTCTGTGGGAATATATTTAAAAAAATACATTGGTATCATCAAACAAACTCTCCTAATTTAATATTCCTTCTTTAGTAATCTTTGAAAGTGAATATCATGCTAACCTCAGACGATCCAGAATTGGATGTCCCTATTGGCCCAGGGCAAATGACAGTAACTCTTATACCTTTAGTACATAGCTGCAAAATCATAGATAAGCACGAAGAATTACAAGTTAACACAAGCACACCATTTAACTCATACTTGATATGATCATAATAATGGTTTAGCGACAATGATGACAATGATAGTCATCATGGTTATTGTTGTTTGCTATCTGAAAACATACTTGCAGTTCAATTAAGTATGAGAATAACGGCGTCAAGCTCAAGACTAATAACACTTGCATAATATTTTTTATTACCAGCAATTGTGATGAAGTGAACAAGAAGTATAGCTTCAAATATTTGTCTGCTAATTATTGTATTGACATATTTCATTTGATTTTACTAGTATCAAAACGTGACAATGATCAAAATGCGAACAGATGTTAACATCCAGCAAAATCATAGTCCACGACAGTAGTACCTCAGAACGCAAAGTATGGAAATATCCATTTAGAGCATGCTTAGATGCTGAGTACATTGCTTGACCGGGTGAAGGGCATTTTCCTGCAGCACTGCTCATCTGCAAATAAGATGAACTTAGAAATGGAAAGCACATGCTCACAAGGAGTGGGAAAAACTAAAACCCAAATAACAAAGAGGTTGAACAGCTTACCACGATAAAATGGCCTTTTCCTCTTTTAAGCATGTAAGGTGCAAGTAGTCGAGTCAGATTTATTGTCCCCAAGACATTTACATTGAAAGTTGCCTACTTGGACCACATGCATATGAAATTTAATTTCTAGATGGAACTCAAAATGCATAAGAATACAATTGTTGGATCGAAAGTACCCGAAGACCTTCCTCAGTCTCTTCCAAAGCTTTTATCTTCTGTAAATGAATATAAAACCAACTGAAGATAGTGAACACATATTCTTTGTAATATTACATTCCAATCAGTGATGTAAAAATACAGATACTAATAACCTATACTGAACCACAAAGACTACTTTGACAAAAATGAATATCCAATATACGTTATTTAGAACAATGAATACTAATTGATAGTTCTCGACTATATTAATTATTCTAATCTATAAGCAAATACCAATACATATCCTGACAATCAAAAGCATGGGCTAGTGCTTATACATTAATGTCTATCCACTACTACATTATTTAAGTTTAACTTATTCTGACATAAGAAGAGATTCAATTTAATGGTTCACCACAGTTTCCTTTTCAACCATTAATTATTTGACATCTGGCTGGCATACACACACTGGCGGATCTAGCTTAGAGAAGTGTCACGTGACACCACTTTCTCCAAGGGAATAGGGGAGAGTCTACATATATTTGAAATTTGAACCTTAATTCATTTTGTCCATACATTTTTATGCGCACCCAATTCAATATTTTGATTGGGTTTCTGCTCACCCAAAACTTCTTGCCCTCAAACTTCAGTAAACCATAATTGATGGTGTCAAACTAAATCAAAGTTTGATTTCAGTATAATATGTATAGTGCATACACATTATACATGCTTTTTAGCGCTCGATCAGAATGAAAGTTATGGACCCGTCTTGCAAGGAATGATTACCAGTGTTACTAATGATGCTATGGTTGGTAGCTTTACTAATAAAAAGAAGATGATTGGACCAATGATTTGATTATGTTTAACTTAACGAATGAGATGTCCCATAATAGAATGGAATGGAAAAATAGGATTCATGTAGCCGATCCCAAACATTTGGGATAAAGGCTTTGATGTTGTTGTTGATGATGATGTTGTTGTTGTTGATTGGACCAATGATTGTTTGGTGACATATATTGAGAAAGATGCATATCATAGTGGTATAAGTGATGCAATTATGTGTTCTTTTTTCAAAATATGAAAACCTGTCGAGAACAATTGTAATAGTTTTTTAATTATTAGTTACATGGTGACACCACTTTCCAGAAATCCTAGATCCGCCACTATATACGCATCACATCTGATCGGAGGTAGAGTTCTTTTTATCAATTATGGATACTGAGTTCAAAATCTATATTCACATCTGTGTTCACAACATAAAATGCAAACACAGTAATACTATATCGGCTTCATTTCATCCCAATTCTCTTTCCTTGTTGTACAACATACTTGAAGGAATCAACAAGAACCTGAAGCCACACTGTCAGATATCACGATTATCACCTATCAATTTGAATAAGGTTATTGCATGACAAATAATAGATCAATATAAGAAAAGGCATAAACCACTTACAGGACGTTCAAAAGCCGCATTATGTACCATGTAATCTACACCACACCCAGAAAAAAAGGATTCTGCCTTTTGCACTGCTTCTTTAAGAGGCTCTTCACCAGATGCTAAATCCAATGGCAATACCTCAACTCTACTGGATGGATACTTAGCTATGCATATCAGGAAAAGTGTAGTACGTAACTTAGAAAGACCTAGTGGAGATAGTTGTCAAGTGCATGAATGCAAACATTGAATACAAGTATTTGAAACTTACCAACAAGTTCATTCTTAACTCGTTCAAGCTCTGCTACATTACGGGCGGATAGTATCACCTTTGCCCCTAAATTCACAAACTGTTTTGCGAGAATCTCTCCTACAAAAATTCCAGGAGACAGGACTCATGAATTAAATATGGCTTACTAGAAAAGACAGCAGCACAAATCCTATGTCAGACTTACAAACTCCATTTAAAGAGTGAACCGTTGTACATGCCACTTTATTTTACACATTCAGTAAATTATTAATGTCTTTGAAGTTACATCATACCATACATAGATATTGACACAGTTTGACAGTCTCAGAATACCATTTTCTGATGGTGCAATTATGCCATAAAAAAGTTCATTTTCCATATCTACGACAATAAAAGTAAAGCCTGATACCTTACTTAGAATAGAATGTCCACAAAGGAGGGAAACTTCCCCTAATCACAAAGGAACATTTCTAGGTTCTTCCAATAGATTTGCTTAAATTAGAATGTTTCTAGTCTTATACTGAAACATATTCTGCATATTATAACTCACTGTTTAGTAACTAAACATTAAAGTTTTTAATATTTTGTATAGTATTATATGTGAAAAGAGAATCAGCATGGGGTAAGGTATGCAATTAAAAGATGACTAACAAGTGTCTCAATTAGAAGATGTTATAGAACTGGTAATATATTTGGGAAGTGTCCTAAACAGGTCCAAGTGCCTAAAAGTTACTGTCTCCGGTGCAAGACTGAAAAGTATACGCTGTAAGGAATCCAGGCTACATAGCCTTCAGGTAGCTGGTATGAGCAATTAATGAAATAGATAGAAATCTGGTCCCCACCCTCCCACATATCTCTGCTGGGATGAACAAAGATGGGAACTTTTCAAAGTAAAATACAAATAAATTATGTGTCCTCTTAAATTATGAATTTGGTTGATAAAACTAAGGATAGTAACTTCACCAAACTTCGGTATATAATATGAGGTCATCTGCATCTATTTACATGGAAATTACTGTAAGCCTTTGATCATATTGTAGTTAGATTTTTCTGAAGTAGGGATTTTCATAATCTGTACTTGCATAATGTGATATTTAGCACAGTTCCATGTTTACATTGCATAAACCTGTGACGTTCCTCACATATCTACTTTGTCATAGTCTTCTCCAGTTTTACCTACATAGTTCAATTAAAAATTTCCCTTCACAATTCTCATTTCATTCTATTGAAATTGATTTCTAATGTTTAGGAAATAAGCATTGATTTATAACCGACGTTGTGACTTGAAAAACTTGCAGCAAAAACCACAAAGTAAGATAAATTTAACATATTTGCTGATGAACAAGTATCTATACTAACGAAAATCAACAGCTTGCATCTTGCACAAAAATATCAGCAGTTAGAAAAAATGTTAACGAAAACTACGAGTAATATTTTGTGAAGATCTCCATTACTTGAAGAGTTCTTTTTCTAGTCAATAGAGTTGAAACTTAATCTTGATATCTCAAGAATTCCCATCCATTCATATCTGAGGAAGTAAAACAAGATTAAGATATGAAAGAGAGGAGATAGGAGAAATATGAGGTGTATAAAATAGTAAATGAAGAGGGGGAGATAAGATGAACTCAGAAGTTCCAAATTTGAAAAGAAGAAATCACCGAAAACCATAATATCAATCTGAATCAGTCATCAGTCGAGTCGATCATCGTAGGTTGCATGATAACAAATTAGAAAGTCACACATACTGCTAGTTTGATGTAATCTTTACAATAACATCATCGATCCTAAACATTAAAGGTATTGCAGAAAGACATTGCAGAGGGTTATGAATAAAGGCTTCACCACCTTTTACTAAAGAAAGTTTTGACACGAGGGACAGAATCACCAGTAGGTGCATCATTCCCATAACTTTATTTCAAGGATCTCTACGTATGAAATTACTGAATAAATTGTTCAAAGGAGTTCAGTTTTAGTTATGGTATTTCAACCTGACTTCACAAGTCAACTAGGTTCTTGCGGGGCAAGGGGAGAAGGAAACTTGATGTGCTTCATTATAATAACTTTGAGTATATTATAACCTTGCTTATTGCTATGTCCTCATCCACATCCAATAATCTATGAACACAAATTTGCACATATTAGATAGAAGGCCAACTAATCAATTTGACCTATTCCATTCTCAATAAGTAGGTTAGTAAGTAAGTATTAATTGTATATTGTTGCAAGCATTTCAGAACTTTTACAGTTATTTGTTCTTTTACTAAATAAAATAAATATATAAACTCAGGATTCGAACCTTACTAAATTTCTTTCCTCTTTGTTCTAAGTTCACAATTTCAAGCCATTTCGAAGATATACTTGGTGACTGCTATTTAGGTCACTCGTTCATTTAAAAAAAACAAAAAAATTTAAGGAATTAAAGAAGAAAAGGATCCCATACCAATTCCACGGCTTGCACCAGTAATCCACACAGCCTAACAATCAAAATGTATTCAGATACGTTAAGCCCCCATAAATCTATCAAACTACAAAAAAAATCGAACATTTAAACAAAAACAAAATATACACAGATTATCACCTTGCCATCAATTTCGTCACGCTTCGCGTGGCCCTTAGAAATCAGAGTAAAATCCCCTAAATGTCGGGGGAAAAAATTACACGCTGATAAGCCAAAATTGTCGAAATTAGAAGGGAGGAAATCAAGGGTTTCGAAATTACCATCGGTTGTGGCGAATTTGAAGAGGAAAGCTACGATGGCAGCGAGGAACAGGAGAATTACGAGTAGAGTCAACATCTTTCGAGATCTGTAATTACTAAAAAACAAAAAAAAAACGATTTTTAAGAAGTAAAAGAGCTAAGAACCGTTAGCAATTAGTATACGTCGCTGTTGACATGTCCTCTTTGGACTTTTAATCGATGAGTTCGATTATTTTGTTGGACAAATTTTCATAAATAAATCGATGAGTTCGATTATTTTGTTGGACAAATTTTCAAAACCATCCACTTTTGAAATTTATTTATAAAAAACGACCCATTTCAACATTAATTTCAAAAACCAACCCAGTTGGTTGAAACTGAGTTGGTTTTTGAAAAAAAAATTCAAACTTCATGGGAGTTGTGTTATGAGAAAAAACTTCACGGGAGTTCAACTCCCGTGAAGTTAGTTCAACTCCCGTGAAGTTTGAAATTTTTTTTTTCAAAAACAGACTCAGTTTCATCCAACTAGATCTGTTTTTGAAATTAAGGTTGAAAGTAATCTTTTTTTGGGAATAAATTTCAAAACCGGATAGTTTTGAAAATTTGTCCTTATTTTGTTGGACAAATTTTCATAACAGTCTTCTTTAGCCTTTTAATTTTAAAAAAGACCAATTTTCAACTTATTTTTCAGAACCGACCTGGTTTCAGCCTCAGCGCTGAAACCAGGTCAGTTTCTGAAAATAAATTTTCGAAACTTTACGGGAGTTGAACTCCCATGAAGTTTAGTAAGCTTTATTAAACTTCACGGGTCTGGAAAATAAGTTAAAAATGGGTCTTTTGTGATTATTATTGTAAACGGGATTGTTTTGAAAATTTGTCCTTATTTTGTTTCTTTCGAGTAATCAAAAATTTTAAAGTGAAAAATCCAGCGATCAATTTTGGAGATTTTTGCATAACCTTTACATCTTTCAAATTAGTAAAATACCCTCCACATCTTTGATATTTTAAATTGGTCTCCGATTTTGTCATGTTGGTTTTTTTTCTATCCCTCTGCCTAACAATTTTAATTTTTCAAAATGTGAAATGTAGCAAACATATTGACAATTATTAAAAATTTTGGCATTGCCCTTTTTAGAAGTAAGCATTGTTAAGTCGAACGGATAAAAAGACTTAATATGCGAGTCCCGGGGTAATTTCACAAATATCAAGATTTATAGAGAAATATTATAAATATAAAATATTTGAGAAGTATACATAAAAAATCTCTAAATTTTAAAGGGTTATTTTAAAAGTATAAAGCCCTCCATAGTAACTCCATATTAGTCCCTCAAATCTTAGGGTTAGTTTCGCAAGCCTCTTGAACTTTGAGGAGAACTTACTTATATCCTCTTAAACTTTTTTTCTAATATCACAAAACCCTCTTTAACCTTTTTTTATTATATAAATCGCACAAAACTCTCTTTAAACTGAGGGGTGTCTTACAAAATCTCTAAACTTCATACTTTCTTTCACTGGACCTTATACCTATAATTTACAAATAACAAAAAAGTCAATGAGAGAGGATTTTTTTTTCAAAATTGAGGCGTTTGTTTTTTATAGACAAAACGCCCCTTCCTCTCAATTGATAGTTTTTTTCCAAAAAAAATAATGTAAATTATAGATAGAGTGGTCCGATGAGAAATGCTGATGTTAAGAAGTATTTTGAGAAACTTCCAAGTTTAGCTAAAGGTATGAGATAAATAAATTCTAGGGGTAACCTACAACACCCTACACCTAAAATTCAGAAATTTGTGAAATTAACCCTTATTTAAATCTATGCAGCTAAAAGTTCTGCCAATACAAATCAGGTTAAAATTACTTAACCTCTTTTTTATCTAGTTGCCTAAAATTCTTTAAGCCCCCCTGAGAAATAAGTGAGAAATATATATATGTAATACCCCTAAAAGTAACTAAGTATTAATCTTCACAGAACAGTCGACACGTGTCTTATATTATACCTAATACAACTAATTCAAAATCAAGATAATCTTGGCATCTGCATGGCCGACTTAATAGATTGACATCTCACGTAATCGAGACAAAATGCAGTACTACTTGACCAACCCTTCAATTGGTTCTTCATGCAACCCGGGTCAGCCCACTGTTTGATCGACATCTCGCCTAACGAGACAAAGGCGGTACTATTCGGCCAACCCTTCAATTGGTTCCTCGTGCAACCCGGCTCGACCCACTGTTTGGCTAACATCTCGCGTGACCGAGTCAAAATGCGGTAATTGTCGTCCAACCCCGACCAATTACCCTCGCGAATAACCCCACTCGGCCCTGTTGATGCTCGAGACAAACAGCCAATTAATCCAGAAGAGGATTGTTGCGGGATGATGAAGGATGATGGAGGGCCCGCTCCTTTCTTTGACTTTATGTCTGGTTACGTCTAGTTATTGAATGAGGGTCTGATGTCCGCGCTGCACAAAAAAAAATAACTCGTGAGAGGACGGGGACCGGTCCCCCCGTGGTTCCTCCGACGATTAAGTTAGTTGATAAACATGAGCTTGAGTAGAGTATAAAACTATGTGTTCTTATGCTATGTGCATTAGAGATTATCATCTCCTAGATTGGATCGAGGGGAAGATTTAGATTGCTCCTAGAGTTGTTTGTTGGGTTAGATTAAGTTACCTCCCCTCCCCTTTTCTGATGGTGAACAACTTTCATATATAGCGTGGGTGTCCGTTGTAGATTGGTCATTTCGGCCATACGGAATGGCGGTGACAAAGCGTGAGCTGGAAGATGAGTCATCCCTCTCTTTACAAGTGTCGACCGGTGACAGGAAGATAAGTCATCTTAGCATGGGAGATCGCGTCTCTGTGATATCCGAGAAGTAACTTGCGAGCATGACAGAGGGCACGTGGGCATACTGAATCGTCCCTCGTTTTACAAGTGTCGACTGACGACTGGAGAGGAAGTCATTTCATTACGGGAGAATGTATCTTCGTATTTTTTGGGAAGTGATTGAGCTGACAAGTCATGGAGAATTGTCAGGCCAATATCTGGATAAGACTTGTTCGAGGTGGACTGAGATGTCGACATTTACTCCGGGGGAGAGGTTTGAGGCCAGGGCCGAGTCCTCAACTTAATCGTCAGCAGGGAACGTCCCTTAAGTTGTCTATGAGGAATGCCCAGTGAGTGGTCAACTGCCTTAAATAGGGTCGTCCTTGATAAGAAGGTCGACCAGCACCGTCTTTCATATCGACTTAGGAGTGTCGGTCTGTTCGACTGGGCGAAACGACATCTTATCTCAGCTTAATAATCGCCTTTTGACTCGGTATAAAGATGTCGACTCATCAGGCATGTCAGGATCTCTTGTATCGGCTATTATCGCCTCTTGTGTCGACACCAGGGTGCCGGCTTGACGAGTCAGTGGGGCCGAGATCTCTGTAATTGTGCCTTGGGTTTATCCCTTAATAAAGAGACGATGTCTTGATATTCGACTTAGGAGTCGTTGTGCCTAGAACTCTTGAGAGTTGACTAGATCTTTCTTTCCCCTAAGGCTGAGAGATGACTGTGGGAGTCGGCCAAAGGGTTGAGCTTGTTTTGCTTAAGGCTCTTATCGTATCATTTCGCAAATACTATATCTTGGGTGAGTGAACACCACAGCATGCCCGTTGTAGCATCCGTCACTAGTTGTAGTCGACCATCAGCTGGACGACTAAAAGAGTTAGTAGTTTTCTCGAACCCTACGCCGACAGCCGCCTGTCCTAACATTAACTGCTCTGACAAAGTCATTATTGCTTTAGTCAACGAAGTCTTTATGACTTATCAGGTTATCATCAACATCAAGTAGCTGTTGTTGCTTGGCACTTACCACCTAGATGACCCATCTTCACCAGCGACCAACACCTATCAGCTTTCTGCCTACTCAGCTATCTAACTGGACTCAGGTCAAGTTACATTATTGCCTCTTACATCCACTATAAAAAGGAAAGGTACTGCATGATGTAAGTCTCTGGTCTCTTTTACACAACGAATAGCTAACCCTATATTTTTCCCACCCAAGATCATCTATTGACTTGATCATCGGATGAACAATCGGAGAAGCTAGCTCCGTCCTCTTACAAGTTCTTTGTTGTGCAGGGAAGAACATCAAACCCCAAGCCACACATCAAAAGGAGTTAGAGGACTTTAATCACTCCTCAAACCTGCAAATTAATCCTTGTTTGATAACTGACATCAACAATATATATTTTTGTGTTGCTAGTTAAAAAAAAGAAAAAGAAAAAGAACTGAACGTGGATACTATCAAAACCTATTTTTTATGTCTACAGTACTCCCATCCCTAAATCTAGATATAAAGCCCATGCGGCCCGGCCCAAAGTCATCGGGTTTGGGTGTCACCCGGTCGCAAATTTGAGTCCGTTTCGGGCATCAGAAAACTAGAGATCCCGAAGGTAATCGATCTTCTGCTTCAATCTCCGAATTCGCCCAAAATCCAGAGAGAGCGTTCTCCAATCAAATCTCTCGTCAGATCTCGCCAAAAATCGCTGCTCAAGCTTGATTCACTTCAGCTCTGACTTCGAGTTTCGAACTCCGAGCTTCTCCATATCTAGGGTTTGATGATTTCTCTTCCCATGACAAATTAGGCTTTTGGGCTCCTATACTGGAATTAGATTCAGTAAACGAGTAGAAATTAAGGTTTGAAATCGATTACTTAATGAAATTCTTTCTTCATGCAGTGTTCAGAAAGCGGATTTTAGTGGCGCTTTGTGGATGAACGCAGGTTTAGAGGTAATTGATTTTGTATGTACTCCTCATCGGATACTGAAAGATTCGGTTTTTTTTCCGCGAAATTGGTATGTTTGTACTGTGGATTACAAGTGACAAGACAAGTTATTAACTCAGCCTTAAAAAAAAAGTTTATTGTCATTATGGAGTTAAAGTAGTTGAAGTTATAGTGAGGGACCTAAGGGTTTACTTCATGGAAGTCAAAATGGCAGTTTGACCCGTGAAATTGCTACAGTTTCGATGCATAATGTACAGCATTTGAGGTTCTTGTATGCTCATTCTCATAGTATCTCAACACCTAGCTCCAGTTTTTCATTTTAGTCAGATGTTGGTCAAAGAATATGTACCTTATTACATAAAGTAGTAAAATGCATTTTCATAGAAGATAAGTGCATAAACAAGCCGGTGGTGCCTGCGTTTCTAGCGGCTTGGATGAGAAGGGCTCTTCTATCATCTATAGATAGGAGGTTACTAATGTACATAGGTACTCGTTGCTATTGTTATACATAGGTGTTTTGTAGTTTTACAAGTTTGCGGTTAGGTCACTTGCCCTTCTTATGCTTTTCCCGACTTGTTTACAATATTGAATATATCATATTTAAGAAATGTACAAGCTACGAAAACCTTTACATTTGAACTAAATAAGGTGTAAATTATGTTTATCTGACAAATGCATTGCACATTACTGCATTAGATACTTCTCTCTTGCTATATTTAAGTATGTCTTTCTTCAACTTTCCCTTTAGAAGAATAGTACTGAGATTTCCATCCATATCTGCAATGTGCGGTAGTTGTATACAGCCCAGATTGTTGAAGTTGATGCACTACACAATGTTACAGGGTAGTCATAAAAACCTCACACCTTACTTTGATATGGACATAGTTACTTAGAAGAGGTATTTTTTTGACTCAACTATTGTATGTTAAAATATATACCTATGACCTAAGTTGCATGGAAATGGATAAGCGTACTGGTAGTGGTGCGGGTATGCATACAAAGCACGGCAAATTTGTGAAATGTAAGTGTGGGGACACGACTATACATACATATTGGAATTAATAATTTACATGAGATCTTTATTATTTTTCAATTCGTTCTATTTGAATTTAAATTCTTATCATATTTTTAAGTTTCTTTTATTATGTGGATTAAAAGCGCTCGTTTTTAACTAGACTATCACACCATGCTTTTAAATCATAATTTTAAACTTGGATGTGGGCTGAAACAATCAGACCCATGACAAATTTCAAGAAATGGACATGAAGCGTAGGATGTATGACCAAGAAGTGTATGACAAGTATTTTAAATTAAAACATTTATCTGATAATTGAGTACATGTCTGGGTAAATGTATGCGTATATACAAGGAGTGTCCCAAGGAGTGTTTGAGAAGTTTGGATACGGATAAGTGTTGGCTACATGTCAGATACGGGTACGGCTTTATAATAGAAGTACCCAGTTAACGTAGCCTATAACCCTCAACTCTGACCATAACTTCGGAATTTTGGTTGCAATGGCAGGAAACTTTGATATGGTATGGGGGAAACCTAGTTTCGAATCTTGCCGGCCATAAGTTCCTAAAGAGGATTTTGCAAAAAGATACTGCTTTGTGTGTTCGGCACATGAAAAGACCCTCCACATGTAGGGCATGTTAGAGTATAATCTTATAGCCCTCAACCCTCACCACAACATTGAAGTTTTGGTGTAGTGGCAGAGATTTTAAGATTTTGCACACAGTCATATTTCTAGTTTCTGTTTTTTCTGGGAATAAATCTTCTGTTAAGTGAATCTAGAACCTTATTAATTCTTATGTTGGATGATAGGAGTCTATTATTTCTTAATAAAAAATAGGGAGAGGCCAGCTCTTTTATTGATGCTTTGATAGAACTTACAAAGTTTTCATAACCTTCCCGTTTTGGGTAAATTATGATGTAGTCTTTACTGGACACTTGATCTTGCCTTTTTTTAAGCATAGAAAATATTCACATCTTTTTTTCTTAACTTCGGGATTCCTTCAAACTGTAGGAATTTTCTTCAGAAAATCTAGATACATTTAAGAAAAAAAAACTAAGAAGGCTTCCTTTTTTCCTCTTAAGGAGAATTTGAAAGCCAAGATGAATCTACAGCAGAGTGCACATCCTAGATCTTCTGTCAATGGCTATGGTCGTCGAAAAGGTGATAGAGAGATAGGCCCCAAGGCTGAGAGTAAAATGCATACTGGGAAGGTAGCCTCTAGCAGCTTGGGTACTGCAGGTAATGGTTGAAACTTCTCATCGATGTGTTTTTATTTCGTAGTCTAACACTTCTTTTGTGCATGCTTAGAAAATGGAGGAAAATCAGGAAGTGTAATAAATCCTTCTCGCGATCGGTTGATATATGTCATCTCATATCTTATTGGCCTCCGTGTGGAAGTCCATGTGAGGAATGGGTCTATTATCTCTGGAATATTTCACGCGACGAATGCTGAAAAAGATTTTTGTATGTTCCAGGTCCTTTCTGTGTGTTGCTTATTTTGCTAGTGGTGTGGCGACCAATTCATAACTTCTATGTACCTGCAGCATCAGTTGCTGTTTTAGTGATGTTTTTTTTTTTTTTGGTCATCAACCATTCCCTAATTATCTGTTTCTACTTGCAGCAATTGTTTTGAAGATGGCTCAAGTGATTAAGGATGGTTCTGTCAAAGGACATAAGCCTGTCCCTGAGACCGTAAAAAAGCCTATGGATATGATTATACAAGCAAAAGATCTTGTTCAAGTTGTAGCAGAGGTTCTACTATCATATTGATTTATGTTGATTCTTACATATACAGAACTTGAATCATAGGATGTTAACTCTTCTTCTGCGATGCTATTTATTTTTAAGCTCTTTCCTAAGATGTATTTGTTTCATACATATTAGTAACTTTAAACCAAGTGAATGATCTCTTTCCACTATTAGTTTCACGAGTCTTACTGATGGAAGTCATTTTCTACATTTGTTGGTGGTGTTTCCTGTAAGGTGTCATAACATTTGTAAATAATTTGCAGGATGCACCTTTGAATATCGAGGAATTCTCAAATGCACATCCTCGTGATAAACGCAAGGATCTCATGATAGACTCAGCAATATCCCACTCTCATCATCTAGAGGCGGAGAGGGAGCTGGAACGCTGGACTCCTGATGCAGATGATCCGGAATGTCCTGAACTGGAAGATATATTTGATGGAACTTGGAACAGGTGGGTTATGTAGACTTTCTTCTAGTCCTTCATTAGAGTAATATTATTTTGTTAGGTATATTGCCGTTGCAAGATTTCTTTGTTGACTATTTAATGTTTTATTTATATATTGCCTTTCTTCTAGTCCTTCCCATTAGCTTTTTATCTAAAATGTGGTTCATTGTTAATTTCTTCTCTCCTCTAGCACATTTTTTATACTTAGGATGTCCAAGTTAAAGCTCCTGTAGTCTTCTTACAGTTTGCTCTCCATTATTAGTCGTCTTCATCCAGTCTGTTTAAGAGTTCAGATCATTGGAGTTTTACTCTTCAGTTGTGTGATCCTTTACTGGATAACCAAAAGAGTAGTTGTCTCTCCCCGCCACTGACCTTGATTTTACGTCAAACCCTTACATTGTCCATTGCTTTGCTAGTAATTTGGCAGTTGGCACCAGTTCCATGGTTGCACAATTGCTGGTTGTTAACTTTGCTCCATTTTCTTAGACCACTCATGGTTTATTGTCCCGATGCATAAGCAACCTTATCTTGTTGGATAAGCAGATATTGATGAGTAATGTCTAAGCTGTCTTTATTTGTGCAAAGTGTTCCTTCTTGACTTTCTTCCTCTTCATCTTGGTCAATATTCAGCTAGTTCAAATCCATAATTCTCCATTTTAAGTTTGACCTGGTTGAGATCCTATGAATCCACCAAGTTGCTCTAACTTTGCTTGACTGTTGTTAATTTTACGCAGGAATTGGGATCAGTTTCAGACAAACGAAACTCTATTTGGAGTGAAGAGTACGTTTGATGAGGAACTTTACACAACAAAGCTCGAGAGAGGTCCCCGGACGAGAGAATTAGAAAGAGAAGCTACAAGAATAGCCAGAGAAATTGAAGGAGAGGACACCCGGGACCTACACTTAGCTGAGGTGAAGCTTCTATCATATCTACATATATTCTTCTATAACATGTGACTTAGGTATATTATGGTTTTGTGCTGATCCATTCAACAGGAAAGAGGCATCCAATTTGATGAAGATTTCGATGTTGATGAGGAAATTAAATATTCTGCAGTACAGAGGGAGATGGATGATCAAATACCTAACAACTACAGTACTGAAAACTTTGGTAGCTCAAATGGCTCTACAGTTCCCAAATCATTTTCTGATATCTCCAGAAGTAAACTCGTCGAGGAGGCCCATACATCACCTACATGTTCGTCTATGGTATTGACCTTGTCTATTTTGTCCTTTTTGGGTATGTATTTGGAGGTTTACTGTTGCATTTTTCCTTGACATGTTCACATTCGAGTGATGCGCATCTCAGTTCTGGAATGGTAGTATGATACTATGGATTTATCAAATTTTAGTTTAGATCTCCGGTTGTGTTATCATGGTGTAGTAATCGAGCAAATAAATATCACAACCAATAACCATACAATGGAACTTTTCTTCATGAGTCATAGAGAGGGTCGATCTGAAACATTGCAGTTCATTTACAGTTATTTGATGCATTTCTGTTGGTTGGGATTTTCTGCTATGACATCATGTCAAACTAAAGCTTTTCAGATTGTTCATCAATATCTTCTGTTAATTAGTAGCATAAGCAAGGTTTGTTTTTTCAAGGACATACGTTCATGAATGAGGACATCCATGCTTGCTTCGTGCAGATTCTGCCTGTTATGCCAGCTAGACAAACCTTGCAGCTCACACATTTGACACCACAATGTGGAATGACTACTTTAAAAATTTTATTAATTTTAAATTTGTATTATGATGCGCAGAATGCGGAAGCTCCTGCTGAGATTCATTATGATAAAGATGCACGTCATTTTGGTTTTGGTTCCAAAGATGACAACATACCTTCTGCTGACATTGTTGGCCAGAAGCCCCAAGCTGTCAATGACAAGAGCAGGTTTTTAGTTCTGCTACTTTATTGTTATATGTGCCCTCTAGGCTTGAAATGACACGTTGATAGCATTTTATTACAGGAATGTATTCAGGACCCTTTATATGTTATCATTGGATCTAATCTGGAAAAAAATCTGTTTAGGTTGCATGAGAAGCAGACAAAAAATGAAGATAAAGAAAAGAACATCTTCAATGAGTGCATTAAGAGGACTGTAAGTGAATTCTCAAGTCTCTGTATTCTCCTTTTATTACATGTATACGACTGTTTTATCTACCATAGCCATCTTTTCTTTCAACTGACTGATCTTTTTACCTTGTACAGGCACCTGAAAAGGCTCAAGCATCACAAGATGAGGGTTAGTGGATAATCTAACACAATCATGACATTTCTGTCCATTTGCTTCATAGTACAAATCTTGATTTCTTGGTTTACAGTATATGGGTCTTTTATCTATTATTGGAGAAAACTCTGTTCGTTATGATATAAATAGCTTTTATTTATTTCATGCAAATGAACATATGCGTATTATGATATTTTTCTGAAATAAAACAGGAATAAGAGGTTTTCCAGATACTTTAGTTACATAAGCATTTGTCTGCATTTTTACTGATCATAACTGAGGGACATTCAATTATTTTGGATGCACTAAGTCTATAGTTGTTATCAATTTATAATTTTTCATGATGTGTTTATACATACGGGTCATTGTATTCTTGTAAATGGTCATGTTTTCTTGGCTCTAGTCCTTTTTATTCTCTGCTGTATTTAGATATTTACACTAGGCCTGCATTTTCTTACTTGTACCGCTACATATTTTGCAGTGACACAATCCTCAGCTGATGCTGAGAAGTCTTGTTCCAGTACTGTTGCATCTATTGCTTCCGCTTCTAGTCAAGATGTTAAACGCTCTATTGGTGAAGCTTCTGATTGCACATCTGTTGCTATTGAAGCTGTCGATCACTCCCATCGATCTAGAACTGCTTTGTCATCTACTTCTGATCGTATTGCTGCTGGCTCAGTTTCAAGTGGATCTGGCCTATCTCCAAGTTCCTCCATTGGATCATTGTCCTCCGAAAAGTCAACGTTGAATCCTAATGCTAGAGTATGTTATTTTATGAACTCTGGAGTTGACATGTATACTCAAATTATGCATGTATCTTGCACGTACATACATGTCAGTTGTGAACATTAATGCTTAAGTATGTTTATGAGCTCTGGAGTTGACATATATACTCAAATTATGCTTACATCTTGCACATACATACATGTGAATATCCATATTTAATGCAAGCTCTTTGCAGTAGCCAGATGGACTCACGTAGGTTGCCTATTGTTACACCATTGCCATACTAGGTGATCCTGACTGAGAAAGGGGTCATAGGGCATATGTAAATGCAAAATAGCATTGCAACCAAAAATAATAATATTTTGCGTGATTGTCATGTTAGTCACTGGTTTCATGGGATTACACACGTGAGGTGTCTGTGTCAAAAAATTGGCATGTTTTTTTGGGAATCTTATACAGGTATTACATCTGCGTGTATGGATGATCCGCTCCGTTAAACTTGATCTACATATTCTAAAACCCCAACACACCAAGTTTGGGGTAAATCCGTTGTTTGACCCTCCATCGAGCCATGTGAAAAGTTCTATTCATTCAAAACCGTTAAAATTGATACGAGTGGATGAAGGGTCAAACGACGACGGGTTCACCCCAAACTTGGTGTGTTGGGGTTTTAGAATATATAGATCAAGTTCAACGGAGCGGATCATCCACAATGTCGCTCAATCATGTGATTTTAGAGGCGTCAAGGAGGAAATCCCCTCCTATGACAAGGATACCCATTAATCTCTCTCTCTCTCTATATATATATATATATATATACACACACACACACACACACACACACACACACACTAGATGAGATGCACGTGCAATGCACGCGGTTGAATATCATGAGTTGAGATACATGTGCAATGCACGTGGTTGAATATCATGATTATTTAAATTGATAAAAATAAAGTTTTTTGTGGGATTGATCAACTCACTAATCTCTCTCAAATAAAATATTGTCATTGTTTCCTTCAACCAAGACTGTGGCTACGTGGTCTACTATTTATGAGTTATAAACATATTAATTTAACACAACATCTCTATTTATTAGTATCTTGAAGTCTTTAAAAGATGGGTGATCATTCAATTCGTAAAAGAATTTTGCATATGAATTTACTTGCAATATGTCCATTAAACTTTTAGTTGTGGTTTGACTCATATTCATGTTAACTTTTAGTTGATATTCTCATATTTATATTATCTAATATTGTCATTTAATTTTATGGCTCATTCTCTGTATCATAGAAAAAAACTAAAATTATGAAGAATTTTTTTCTTATGAAAAATTAGAACATGGAGATTATGATATATTTCGCCATGTGCTCTAAATATCAAAAAAAAAAAAAAAAATTCTTTGATGCAAGGTCCCTATCAAATCTTGCTCCAAATGATGTGAATGCAAAATGCTATTATAATTCACTTGTCTGTGACAATTGTATTGTATATAGGATACATAACTCATCTAGAATATCCATATTTCCTAAGTGGATTTTGTTGTTGTGAGAGTAACATGTTAGAGATTCGTATTCAAATTTTTTGGCTCTATAAAAGACATAAGAATTTAGAGTGCATAGCTTATATATCGTAAAGAGCATATTAATTCATGAATAATTTTTTCTAATAATGATATTATTACAATGATATTACTATTCAATATTAAATCACTTTTATTATATAAGATTATATGACCCTTTTTAATAAATTATAAAGTATATATATGGAAACCTCGATGCTTATAGCCAGAAGTCGGGTTCCACAAAATAGGTTAACTTTACATTGTAGTTTGCTATTTGTAGAATTGATTACACAGTCAAAAAATCAAAGAAAAATTTTTTACAAAGGAAAATTAATTTAATATGTCAAATTAGGGACTAATTTATAAAATATACATGAACAGTGCAAATAGCTATAGAAAGTAAGATATATCTTCATAAAAATTTCATAGTGAGTGATCAACTACAATCATCCTAATTTAAACATAAATAATTATTATTTTAGTTACTAATTTGATACGCGTAACTATGGAATAAATCTCCAGTAAAAAATAGGAATTGAGATTGTATTATGCTGTAGGTAAATAATTAAATGTTATCAGAACTGCTCTTTATATTGAATTTAAAAGTAATAATTTAAATTATTAAGCATCAAATGTTAGCTCATGTGAGAAAGTAAAGTAATCTATGGTCTATATATGTATATGGTCAATCAATCAAACATTTTAAAATTATAATGACTACTATCAAAATTATACGGTAGGTTCACATTAAATATAATTTGTAAAAAATAGTACATTAAAATCAAAATCTTTTTAACCACTATATAGATTGTCTGAAAATTTTTGCATATATAAACTATACTGTCTAGGAATAGTGATGTGCACACTTGGTTTAATAAACTTAAGAATGACTTATTCTTCAATATCATCATTAATTGATGTATGTGCATTACACTGAAAACACAATAAAAATTTAGAAAACTACAAAATAAACACCCTCAAAAGTTTTGAAAAGTGTAAAAAAATACTCTAAAATTTGTATATTTTGCATACTTTGAAAAGTTTTCATACTTTGAAGAGGTAATTTGCAATGTACTAAACTTTAAGGGTATTTTTTATAAATTTAAATTTAATAGTTTTTCAATTAGTTATGTTCTTTTCAAAAAAAAGTTATGGGTAATATTTACCATTAAAAGTTTTTCCTAAACCTATACTTTTAAAAGGTGAATGATGAATGATATTTTTTGCAAAATTTTAATTTTCTAGGGGTGGTTAGTAATTTTGCATATTCATTCTAGTGTCTATAGGTTAGAAATTCTCATGGAGTTTTTTTGTAAATTATAAATTTTAAGGATTTTTTATAATTTTTTAAACTTATAAGGCTTTTCTATAGATTATAAATTGTTTATAGACTATTAATACTTCATATACTTTTAATTTACTAATGAATTTGAAATTTAGGGTGTTTTTTGTATATTTTGAATTTTAAATATTTGTTTGTAATTTTTAAAACTTTAAGGGTGTTTTCTATAAATTATAAATTATATTTTGAATTTTAAATATTTGTTTGTAATTTTTAAAACTTTAAGGGTGTTTTCTATAAATTATAAATTATGTAGGGAATATTTATATAAGGGTGTTTTCTATAAATTATAAATTATGTAGGGAATATTTATAATTCCTATATTTTTAATGTACTGCTAGGTCAGAAATTATCAGTATTTTTGTCAATTTTACAATTTTAAGGGTTTTATTTTATAATTTATAAAAAGTTCAGAGTGTGTATTGCAAATTCCATAATTTTTGGGGGTTTGTTTTATTTGTAGGTCTTTAGTATGATTATAAGTTTGACATTTTCAAGATGTTTTTTATAAATTTTAAATTTTAAATTTTTATGGGTGTTTTTGTAAATTTTAAAACTTACAAGATATTTTCTCCAAAGTCAAAAAACTTTTAGTTTCTGATTTGCATATATTTTTTAGATTTCTCACTGAATTGAGATAAATAAAATTTATAATTTTCAAGATGTTTTAATAAAATTTTGAATTTGTAGGGGTATTTTTTATAATTTAAAAAATTTAGAGAATATTTTTTAGAAAAATCCAAAAACTTTGTGTTGGCTAGCATATGTTTTTTAGATTTCTCTACAAACTGAAATAAGTAAAGGATTTGAATTATATGAAACATATCTATTTTATCCAATAACATGTTAACTCTCATTATGAATAGAATAAATCATTTGGTTACCAATTCAAAGAAGATAAGATAACTAGAATAGATTAGAATAACAATATAATATTCAAAAAAACCTAAGGGTAATATTGACCACAGAAAGATTTCCCCGAACTCGCGGCTGCAATGTATTTTTTTTACATTTAAATTCATGACCCTCCACAACCTTTCTCAGGATTGATATTGTTGGGACCCTCCTCATTTGTGTTTTCACTGTTCAATGTTGTACAATAGGCAACCTTACTGGGTCCATTTGGTAACAACATTATATATTCACTTATATTGTGTGTTTCTCTGTGAATAGACATGCGTCATGCTGTATAGATGCATGCATGCATGCATATGTCGTACGTACATATACGCATACACAACTACAAGCATATGTACATAACTATGAATGCAATATGTAAGTGTTGAGTGATGCTCATCCTAAGGATTTACACATTTACACACATACACACATACTACTATGTTACCCTGATACTTCTATAATAAAGCCGTACCCGTACCGGACACGTACCCGACACTTCCCGTACCCAAACTTCATGAACACTTCTTGAATATATTCATGCATTTATTACAGGATGTACTCAATTATACGATATATGTGTTAATTCAAAACACTTGTCAAAGACTTCTTGGACGTATAGCTTACACTTCAAATCCGTTCCTTGAAACTAGTTAGGTATGAGTCCTGTTCATTTCAGTCCATACCCAAGTTCAAAACTATATAGATAATGTGACGTTTGGATGTCTAGTGAAAACAAGAGTAGTTTCCAATTTATGATAATTAATATGATAAAAGAAACTTAAAAATGTGATTGGAATTTTAATTCTAATGACACATGAAGCGGGAAAAATATATCTCATGTACATTATTAGTTCAATATATACATGTAGCCGTGTCCCCGTACTCTACATTTTACAGTTTTGTCGTGTCCCGTACCCGCACCAGTACCAGTACCTGTTTCCGTGCAACTTAGGCTCTACATATGTACAATACTACCATGTATATGTGTTTTAATGTATGTAAGTCAAGATTGTAGGCACATGTCCATATAGGGATACCATCTATCTGTACTTGTATTGTGTATATAAAGATTAAAGGAAAAAAATGAAATAATTTATTCTAAATGCACATACATATAGCACTCCCTCCCCACACAGGACACTTGAGCTCTCACATGTATATCCTGTGCAATATATATGCATGTACATATGGTCTACTTTTACATCACTTTTTTCCATGGTTGATCAGCTTCTTCCTTTTGTTATTTTTTTGAATCAGGAATTTAAGCTCAATCCAAATGCCAAGAGCTTTACGCCGACAGCTTCATTTAGGCCTCAAGTACCAATCTCAGAAGGCGCTTTTTACTATAGTGGTAACATATCTGGTGTGCCACCTGTGCACAGTGTACCTATGAATGTTGGGGTAAGATCTCAATCCAACTTTGCATTTGTTGGTACACTACAGTCTCTTTCTATTCTATTTTCCTAGTTTTTGAGTTTTGACTGCACTGTACGAAAATTTGTCATTATGTATTGTACCAATATATATATTATTCTATTATAACCATTATAGTTTAGTTTATTTATCTGCATTTTGTGTTGAATGTTTGTTCATATGTATATTTGACTCTAGTCTTTACTTTCCTCTGAACGCCTATATTTTTCTGGCATATCATTGACAGTGTTTTAATAGATGGTCCGAAGGGTTCAAGAATGCTTTATAGGCTTCTGTAGGCACATTGTTGGCGTTCATGTACTACTTAAAAAGATTTTCCATTACACACATTTTGCATTCCTACTCTCTCTTCTATTGCTCTTTCATATCAAATTACTTCAAACCATGGAGTGTACATGCTACATAGTTTCTCTCTCATATTTGACGTAGCATATACTTTTTTCTCTGTAGAGGGCGTGGTTTGAGCCCAGAAACTATGGAATCAAATGCGCTGATACCATGTAAGATGACTAATAGTCCTGAACACATAATTCAAAGGATCATGAACCAAAAAGGTTTTCTTTTTGTTGTTGTTGAGAAAAACCAAAAATGTACTATCAGCAATACTAACAGTTATGAAACAGTTGCATTACATATTACTATTGTTTGGTAGATGTACCTATTTAGTGTTGTTTTATCTGTATAATTAAGTAGTTAATGTCTTTCATTTGATATTTTACTTCTAATGGTGATTAGCATAGCTTAAAAATCAATTTATTTGCCATCCTTTCCTATTTGGAAATCTAAATTCTAGTGTGATATAAGGTAAGAAATGAACAATGAGTGCTTTTTTTGTATGCGTAAATGAGGATCCATTTTGCTAAATAGAATTATGGATCAGTAGCCGTGATGTTTATCAGATACAATTTAATTGATGTATGTTCTTTTTTTGCCTGAATTTCATATATATTTTTTTCAGTTTACTGTCAAACAAATGCAATTATTGATACTGTTCTCATCCATATTCCTTCATTTACTTAGCTCATTTTTTTCATGCTTGTCATACTCTTTTATCTCTAGCCAAAATTTGGTTCCAGCTTATTCTATGTCCTTCATTTTACTGCCTGTATTTTAACATGAAATAATTTTTGTAGATTGGACCTTCATATGGTGGGCACCAGCCTGTTTTCAACTCACAGTCTGCACAATTACAGTCTCCCCAGGCATATATCCATCCTAGTGGTCCAATGGTATCCCGTCCTTCTTTATCTGTAGCATTACTCCCCATATTTTGAGCATATGATTCAGCTTGCACATTTCTGCAACATGATATATCTTTACAATTGGTTTACCTGATACATTTGCTGCTAATATCATTTTATCATTATTTGCAGTATGGGCAGCAGATGATGCTTGGGCAGCCTCGGCCTGTTTATTACATGCCGGCATATCCACCTGTAAGTAATTCTTTAGTCTTTTAGTTGCTTTCACTTTCTTCTCTTAATTAGACAGTAAGTATCTTTTCGCCCCCGTTGTGCATGTTGTAGAGCTTTAACATGAATGTCTCAGAGTTGCATGATTACTGATTTTTTGTGACACTTTTATAAATGGAAAAGGAGGTTTGGTACTTATCATATACTGGACTGTGAGCAGGGTACAGTCAGTAAATATTGGATTTTATTTGTTGCTATTTGATTTACATGATGCATTAGACGAATTGCCTAGATTTGAAGCATAAGTTACTGCTTAATTCTTTTAATCGAGTTTTCCTCATCGACAAGATCCTTTCTTTTTAGAGCTAAGCATGGTTAACAATGCATATGGATATTCAAAAGTGCTCAGGTAACACATCTTTTTCTTAATCGTAGATTCAAAAGGGATGGATAAGGGGTTTTGGAAGTCGAGTCCAAAACCCTCTGGAATTTGGGGTGGAGATGAACCTAATCAAATCGAATATTAAAGCGTTCGTATTTGTGTTTGTTTAAAATTTTATAATTGGAATCCGAATCCAAATATTCATTTCCGAAGTTTCCCATAATCGAACTCGAATACTCGGTATTTGACAAATATTCATGAACATTCACGAATATATGTTGAATATTAAAGTGTATATATTTTGTTAAATAATTTTAATTTTCAAATAGTATTTAAGTTTATAATTAAAAATAATCCCTTTATAATAATAGTGTGCATATATTTAATTTGAATATTTCGTTAGAAAACTGATTCAATACTCTTTAAATCACTCAAATTTAGGATATAGAAAAATGTAAGTGGGTTGAAAATACAATTATCATGCGTGTAATAATATCAAGAATACCAATTATAAATGATGAAATTTTAGACGAATGTTTGAATCAAACGAATTGAATATACATTTGGTTAAATTCTATTCGTCATGAGTTTAATAGTAAAACTTATTTATTTAGTGTTAATGAACTACCGAATCAAATATAAACCGATAAATCTCAAACAATTTACAAACTGATTGTTTGGTTTGTTTCCACCCCTGCCTGGAACTAATCCAGCTGAAAGTGGATGCCTAAATTTGTTTATGTGACTACAGTTTCTCACTTACTCAAATGAGTATGTCTCCTGGGTGTAATTGACCTGTTCACACCGGCGATTGAACGCACTTCGGAAAAACAAACACTTCTTGATATTTGACTTTTTTAAATTTCCTGTTATACTGTTGTTTGTGCCCTTCGGTAGTTTCACTTGCAATAAAGTGATCAAGTTATCAGATTTATATTATTCTTATGTGGAAAAGCAATGAATTATTGAATATTGTTTTCGTGCATGGATACAATACATGGTCCTAGCCCCAGGTACTGGCAATGTTGCATGTTTTGCTAAAAGTTACTTCTAGTTCTCTAACTTAGTAATATGGTTTGTGTATTAGCATAGCCATATTTTTTAATTCCTATTTCTACTTGAATATTCTTTTTTCTTGTTCTTTTTTTATTCACATGTGATTCATTCTCCTTAAAACTACCTTGAATTGAATTACGCACTCTTTTATTTAAATATCGAGCTTGGATCTCCATACCATACTTTTGATCTTCCTTCTACAGGAAATGCCATATAAAGGAAGAAACTTCTAATGGGATCGTGCAAGGTTTTTTATCGAATGGTGGCTGTTAACCTGCTCTGAGTGCTTATAACTTGTTTGGACAACTGGTGAACCCGGATTAATCATTGAGTTGCAAACACTGCAGAAACACCTAAATCAATTGATATAGCAGTTGGTCACTCTGTATTCACTAACTTGTGCCATGTTCGTGTGGGTTCTGGTGTACTTTACTTCCCAATACTTTTGGAGATGTAATCAGTGGTTTTTCTTGTAAAAAGTCTTAATAAATTAGGAAAGAATGAGTTTGCTATAAAGAGTATTAAGCTCTTCGAGCAGATTTCTAAAGTTCTTGTGTGTATGTCGCGGTACTCTTTTTTCCTCATGTTTATCACAAGTGAATTGGAAACATGCATTTCTACACCGACGGAGTGATGGCGGTGTGCTAGGTGATCTCAATCTCATCTGCGGAGGTATTATTTCATATAAAATGGATTTGATTTTGAGCTAATTTTCAAATGGCAAATAATTAGGTGGCTGTTGGACGATTCTTATTCCCCCCTTTTGTGGTTTACGTCTCATTAATTCCTGTCTATTGGCTTGCTGATGCTTGTTATATGGAAGAAAATGGATATGAGTTCATGAATTAATTGTTGCGAGGCTCCGTGAGGTGAGTTGGCAGCGTAGGAAATTTCCTATGTTGCAAGTGTATGGCATGTGAGCCTCACACCGATGTGACTAGTAGGGGGGCTCACATGTCATGCACTTGCAGCGTAGGAAATTTCCTACGCTGCCAGCTCACCTCCCGTTTCTCCCCCCTTTCCCTCCCCCTCTCCCTCTCTCTCTCTATATATATATATATATATACATATATATATATATATATACATATATATATATATATATATATATAATACAATATATATATATAGAGCAAGACTCCTATCAACTTAAGTTGATGTCCACCAAAGTTCCTAACCACACGTTTATTAATATAAAACATCATTTTATATAATACAAGGATCCCTAGGCAATATGTGTTGGTTAAAAACTTTGGTGGACACACTATCCCTATCCACTTAAGTTGACACAAGTTTTCACACACACACACACACACACACACAAAATATATATATATATATATATATATATATATATATAATATATAATATATATATATGAGATTAATGGGTATCCTTGTCATAGGAGGGGATTTCCTCCTTGACGCCTCTAAAATCACATGATTGAGGCGATATTGTGGATGATCCGCTCGCGTTGAACTTGATCTACATATTCTAAAACTCCAACACATCAAGTTTGGGGTGAACCCGTCGTCGTTTGACCCTTCATCCACTCGTATCAATTTTAACGGTTTTGAATGAATAGAACTTTTCACATGGCTCGATGGAGGTCAAACGACGACGGGTTCACCCCAAAATTGTGTTTTGGGATTTTAGAATATGTAGATCAAGTTCAACGAGCGGATCATCCATAATGTCGCTCAATCATGTGATTTTAGAGGCGTCAAGGAGGAAATCTCCTCCTATGACAAGGATACCCATTAATCTCTCTCTCTCTCTCTCTCTCTCTATATATATATATATATATATATATATATATATATATTATATAATATATATATTATATATATATATATATATATATTAATATATATATATATATATATATAGAGCAAAACTTCTGTCAACTTAAGTGGACCGTCCACTAAGTTTCTTATCCATTGATGATCACTTGATTGAGCTACATTGTGGATGATCCGTTCCGTTCAACTTGATCTACATATTCTAAAACCCCAACACACCAAATTTGGGTGAACTCGTTGTGGTTTGACCTACCGTCGAGCCATGTAAAAGTCTATTCACTCCGAAACCGTTAAATTGATACGAGTGGAGAACGGGTCATCACCGACGGGTTCACCCAAATGGTGTGTTGGGGTTTTTAGAATACGTAGATCAAGTTGAACGGAACGGATCATCCACAATGTAGCCTCAATCAAGTGATCATCAATGGATAAGAAACTTAGTGGACGTCCACTTAAGTTGACAGAAGTTTTGCTCTCTCTCTCTCTCTCTCCTCTCTCTCTCTCTACTATATATATATATATAATATATAATATATATATATATATAATAATATATATATATATAATACCTTTTTATAATAATACAAGGATCCGTAGGCAATAATGAGTGTTAAAAACTTTGGTGGACACACTATTCCCTATCCACTTAAGTTGACACAAGTTTTCACATATATATAATATATTATATATATATAATATATATATATATATATATATATATATATATATATATAGTACACTTACAGCTTATCCCTAGTGTTAAAATATTTACATAGAAGCCTAACTCTGTATTTCTTCTCAACCTCTCTCCCCTCATTCACCTTTCTTTATTCCTCCACTTCTATTCTCTCCTCTCCTCCCTTTTCTCCACTCCCTTCTCCACTTTTAGTTAATGTTTGAGGGGAGAGAGAAGAGATAGGAAAGGAGAGGAGGGAAGGTGAGGGGTAGACTAAGATGAGAGAATAGAGAGAGGTTGAGGCGAGGAACATGGATGGAGAACAAGGGAGAGGAGAAGGTGAGGATGAGGATTTTGGGAAGGAAGAAAGGGAAGAGGGAGTGAGAGAATAGAGAGAAGAGAGAGGAAAGTAGAGGAGGGAAGGTGAGGGGTAGAGTGAGATGAGAGAATAGCGAGGTTGAGGCGAGGAACATGGGAGGAGAACAAGGGAGAAGAGAAGGTGAGGGTGAGGATTTTGGGAAGGAAGAAAGGGAGGAGGCGAGGAACATGATTGAGTAATAGTTTCTATAATGCATACAATACAACTTAGAAGAAATTTTTAAAATAGCCCCAAATCAAATTATTTTTTCTAAAAATCGACCTTTTTATGTTTTTATTACAAAAACAGACTCGCTTTCTGGTCACGTCAGCACCGTGGTCAGAAAGTAAGTCTATTTTTTTTAAACAACTTCCTAATTAGTCGAGGTTACCAACCCGACTAATTTAGACCTCAGTTGTAACTTACAAATTAGTCGAAGCTGGCAACCCCAACTAATTAGGAATGTATTTAAAAAAATAGACTCACTTTCTGGTCACGGTGCTGACGTGACCAGAAGGTAAGTCTGTTTCTGTAATAAAAATAAAAGAGAGTTTATTTAAAAAAAAAAGTTGGTTTAGGACTATTTTGGAAATTTCTTCGTACGACATAATATCATGTAATTACGTATAATACACGAAGAATACAAAAGTTTTTATTGTTAATATGTACCTTCATATCGCGCATCTCATGCAAGTGTCGGTGCAAATAAAATTACAATTTAACCCATTTTCACTGCTGGGCCCACACAGAATAGGGTAGTGTTTCAGCTCGTGAGGCGCACGTGTCCTACCCTCCCCCGGCCCCTTTAAATAATGAAAAAAAAAAATGAGGGAGGGGAGAGAAAGCTAGAGAGAGAGAGACAGAGAGAGAGAGAGAGGAGGAAGAAGAAATGGAAGTAGAATCGATGGGTCTCGAGGGACTCGGCGATCTGATCCTCGAAACGATCATCTCCAAGCTCGATCCGGAGAACGCAGCCTCGATCGCCTGCGCCAGCACGAAGCTCAAAGCAGCTGCCTGCGATGAGAATCTCTGGCGAATCTTCTGCGCTCGAGACTTCGACCTCGATTCCCCTCTCGATCCCGAGGGAAACCCTTGCCCCTCTTTCAAGGTAGTCTCAGTTTCTACTTGTTTTTTTTTTTTTAGTTCTGTAGAATTAATTGCAGCCAGTTCTGAGATCAAGAGATGAAAAAGTTTCCAATTCTCTCTTTCGGACAAATTGCAGCTAACACCCCCAGACTCATTTCTTTTTATAATGGTTGTTCTTTTCAATTCACCCTCTTTTTTGTATCCTGCTTTTGTTTTGATGGTCGAAACAAATGGGGGTTTATTTGGCAAAGAAGCTGATTTCTTGTTTGTCTTGAAGAAATGATGTTAGTAATATTTAAAGGACAAATTATTAAAACGGACCTTTTTTGAAATAATTTTAGCAAAATCGAGCTATTTCGAAAGAAAAATTAGCAAAATCGACCGTTCTTTTGATAAAGGGTGTTATTTGCAATTTACCCTCTTTTTTGTTTCCTGCTTTTCTTTTGGTGATCGAAACAACTGGGGTTTATTTGGGAAGAAGCTGATTTCTTGTTTGTTTGTCTTGAAGAAATGTTAGTAATATATAAATTGGAGGTTTAAGTTGGCGAGTACAAAAAAGCCTGCTTTTTTATCCTTCCTTGTTTATTAGGATGTGTACATACTTAATGGACAGTGTGTGTAGAGGAAAGCATTCACCCAGGACAATCAAGAGATGAATAAAGTTGCAAGCAGACTGGAATTGTATTGTGTCTGGCCGTTGAAATATTTGAACCTCGCATGGATGAAGACCTATTTACTCGGACTTCAGATTTTGGATCAGTGACTAAGTTTGACAAGTAGATATGAGAGAAGTGTTTGATTAGGTTGTGTCTACAGTTTACATCTCTATTTGAAGTCTGTTAACTGCCACGGAGGCTTAACGGTTTTCTGATGTTCTGGCATTAATTGTTTGTTTCCCGATGCGTATAATAGCTTAAGGTCTGTATGTATTCAATCTTGCAGGTGGCATACAAAGTATGGATTAAATCTTTTGGTATGTATCCTTTGCCTATTGTAAAAAGAGTTAAGCAGCTTTGGAGTGCAATCAAAAGCTGGATGGCTGTTAACTTTCCCGAAGCCAATGGAACTTTGAGGAAAGGTGCTTCTGAAGTTGAAATAAGAAACGCAGAAGAAAGTCTAGGTATAAGGTTGCCTACTGCAACAAAAGTTCTTTATCGCTTCTGTGATGGTCAGGATACAATTTGTCATAGCACTGCTGAGCACAAGCGTCTCGCGCCTTTGGGCATTATAGGAGGTTATGAGTTCTATAACCATGTGGTGAATGTTCATCTATTGCCGTTAAGCCAAATTATCGAAGAGACTAAAGATGTTGCAATGCAAATAGGCTTTTCTGTTAGATCGAAATACATTATAGTTGCAGCTTCCTACTATTATGAAAAGTGGTTTTTTCTCAATTCTACCAATAAACAACTTTATGTCGGCACTAGGAACCTTTTATCAGATGGTGAGATGTTACCATGTGTACCTCAAGCACTACTCAGGCAAACTTCTGATGTTAACAATGATATGTCCCAAGATGCATTGTTGTTGTGGTTGGAAGAGCATTGCAGACGCTTGCAAGGCGGCATGATTAAAACTCGGATGCTACATAAAATGCGGACTATAAGCTTATACCCAGAAGCTCCTCCGGCCTGTTCAGTTGCAGTCACTAATGGTGTTCAGGTACTTGAAACTTTAGGTTCTAGTAAATTTTTTATTTTCACGTAATAAAAGAAGCAAAGAATGAGCATGTAAGTTTTTCATGTTTGGATCATTAGCATGGAGTTGGGAATGCTTCCTATCATTTTCATCGATCTTACAAAATTATGTTGAGAGTAGGAGTGCATCTTTCATAACTGCATTTTGGAATTTAGCTTGATGGCTATCCAATAGAAATGCTGTTTTATTCAGAGTGTGGCCCATTTTAACTATAGTCATTGTGTTAGAACTCTATTTATGACAACCTGAGCTAAATATATGAAAGAAAACTAAAGGTAACAAAAGAATCTTTGTTGTTGGAAGTTGGCATACTTGTCTAGAAGCTTCCTTCGCCTTAAATGTTGCTCTTTTCTTGTATTCTTTACATAGTATAAAATTTTCTCCCAAACCTTAATATAGTTTTTGGCACCTACTGATGCTGCTACTTAGAGCCTTTTGCCGATCGATTTTGGATACGAGCTGTCATTTTTATGACTTATTTGAACTTGATTTCTGAAATCCTAGTTTATAATGTTAATATATATTGATTCTTTTCATTAAGAACCAATGAATTGTTATTGTTTGTATTATCGGTTTAACAAAGAGTTATTTATTTCCTTAAAGATGTTATTTTACAAAAAGAAATTTGTTATGCACTGAGTTGGATTGTCTTGAGGTGAATCAGGAGCATTATGCCTCAACTAGAAAAAACTAGTTGTGTACAACATACCGACAGGGGTGAGAAAGTAGAATGTACTAAGAAGAAGAACTATATTTTCTTTAAAAAAAAAATTTGTACGTTATTGAGAAAGAGTTAAGTTTTTTTTTCTGTAAGTGTTCTTTTGTGCTTGGATCTTCGGAACTTTCAATTAAATAAATTTTTTTGTTGCATCGAAACATCGTAACTCATGATATTTTGTGATGCTTTGATTTATGTTATAACTACCGAGAAGAAAAGCAATAAAACTGTTTCATAATAAGCTGCTAAGATGTGTCCTGACACAATAATAGCTCACAGATAGCTTATGGTGTAGCAAGTTCATAGTGAAATTCATGTAGCAAAACTTAAGGAACACTGTCCTTGCGTGTTAAGAAAAACAACAACAATAAAGCATTTGTCCAAACTTTTGATGTTTCAGGTCACCTACATTAAAAGATGACAAGAAGCTTGCCTTCCTTAAAAGTTCTTTTGCACACTTGCAACCTTTCCGTTGAATAAAATTTTGGCAGCATCTGGAAGCGTGGTATTTTACAGCAATTTGTATCTGTAGATCTAGCAAACAACATTAAGGAGAATGAGACAAAGCATCTTGTGCAATGTCGAAATGCGTCCTTCCAAAGGTTTTAAAGTTGAATATGTGGTGGGATTGAGTTTATATTGGAACATAATTGAATTATCAAAACTTGCTCACATGCATCAAAGGGTGTCTTTTTTTTTCTACATCTAAAAGTAGTGTGCTTCTGCTTCCACTTTATGGATAAGTAAGATTTGAGACCATTCGATTTCTATTCATATACTAACTTAGATGTGAGATCAAAATGAAAGATATGACATTATTGAGAATTATTTACCCTTATTTTGAGTATACACAGAAGACTTTGCTTTTAAATATTCTGTGCAGCATGCACACATGTGTCTGTATATGATCTGGGCTACTTTTATATCTATCCGGAATTCTAATATTCTCATGCTCAACACGAATTTAATATGTTAATTTGAAAATGCATTTGATGTAATCTACTACACACGCTGTCAGCAATTAAACTAATTTTTTAAGGAAATTTTAGAATGTTGTTGTTGATTTCTTTTCTTTCTTTCTTTTTTGGTTACTTGATGCGTGGTTAAATAAGGTGGAAATTGTTTCAATGTTAAATAGTTTATTTGTAGTATTGCAATGGTGCAGGTATACAATTTGGTAAAGAGATTCATAATTACATTTTTTAATGTGTCAACTCTATATGCATTTGGAACTAGTTCTAATCATGATAGGGTGTACCTAGCTAGCTATACCCACCACCAAAATATATAATATTCACTAAAGCTTTGGATGCTGCGCATCCCAAAATAGCCTAAAATTTGAGGGACCACGAAGTTTCAAAATGTATATAAAGGCATCAGTTGTTTGAAGAAAAACACATGTTATTTTATGTGAAGATAAGATACCTAATGCATGGGGAAAAAGTTTTATACCACCACTGTGAGAAACAAACTAAGGTAGTCGTTTATAAATGCAGAATACTTTCTTTTTAAAAATTTGTACTTTCTTTTTAAGAATTTGGCAGAATCCATCCTTTTAAAAATTTTGGCTGAACATGTTAGAGTGGCTATTGATTGTTTCTTTTTTTGTTAATAGATGAATAGTTTCTTAAGCTTTGTGCTGGAAATATTTTTTTTTACTATAGTATATTTTTGAAACGTAGTGATCATGAAACTTGGAGATAAAAACAGTACACCGAAGTGAATTGCATCTTGGAAAAGCGTCTGATAAGTTTATTATGTCCTGAATCTAAAACACATCACAGAAATATATGTTGGATAAGGGAATTGTCCTGACAGTATGCATGGAATACCGTGTTTGACAACGGCATAGCTTCCTAATAGAAGCGCAACTGGAATATAGAAGTAGATCTGTTGTTTAACGTGATCTTGAGATCCTATAGCGCGTTATAAAGTTTTATCATGTTAACAGTGGTGTATTTTCTGTGCTTGAGTTTTTAGGTCCGTGCTTCAGCTGTGTTTGTGCCTGAAATGTCTGATCTGAATGGAGGGGAAGAAAAGTATTATTATTCTTACTCCGTACGCTTGTCTCTACTTCCTGATGGATGTATATTGGATGGTACATACTACTCATCTTGTCAGCTTTACTCAAGACATTGGATCATCCGATCCAAAGATGTTGTCGTTTCAGACGTCAGTGGAGAAGCTGTCATTGGAGAGGTAAGACTTACCATGTTTTTATTTATCCTCTCTTTGCCAACAGACTGTTAAGAGATTTTCTTTGTTGTTTGTTGCAGACCTTAATGTTATTATTGTGTCTCTATATCTTATTATTTTCTCAGTTGACACTAGGCTCCAGTACACAGAGTTCTGCTGTCATAAAAATTTGTTCAGTTTGAGTGGTCATAAGTCTGGTCAATTTTCCTCATGAAACCTCTGTTGTTTTCCTAAGTCTGGTCAATTTTCTCATGAAACCTCTCTTGTTTTCCCCCTTGTCACAGAAGTTAAAGTCAATATTTTCTAGAAAATCACTCTACTTAAAACCTGTCCCATGGCGACCAGACTTTATAGTTCTTTTGGAAAGCTTTATTTCATCATGTGTTTCTATGAGAAGCCCATTAGCCTGCCAAGTCTGGATGTTGTTAAAGCTTCATTGCTTCTTAAGCTAAAGTTGATATTTGAGATACTCTAATCTTATCATCAAATTATGTTTGCAGTACCCTCTCCTTCTTCCGAATGAAGAAGAGTTTGTGTATGAAAGTTGCACACCATTACCAGCGGCTCCTGGGTCTGTTGAAGGCTCTTTCACCTTTGTACCTGGCAGGTATTCAGACAATCATAACACTGTCTGGCAAAGCTATTGGCATGTCTAATATGCAAAAGTTTTCATTATATTTATATATGCTAATTGCTTGTTTTGATGCTGAGTATTTCTATAATGGTTCAGGTTGAGAAAGCCTGAAGGAAGACAGTTTGATGTTAAAGTGGCACCTTTTCCACTGGAGGAACCTGGGTATATCTTTTGATAGCTGGATAAGTGCCAAACCCAGTGTGTATATATCATGTGGTTATAATAATCAGCAAATTGAAACTAGCTAGGTATGGAAAATGTTCAGTAGATTATGGTTCAAAAACTCTTGTTTGGTTTGAAAATCGAATGGATGAGGGGTTTGCTTAAGCAATGCATGGTGGTCATGATGCTGCTGTGTGTATTTCGAATAGTGCTAGCATTCTGGAGCTACGATGCTCAGTTTATGAATCCTTGTGCATATAGTATTGGGCGTGATTTCTGGGCAAGGCTTACTATCGTGAGACGTACTGCTTGTGAACGTTTTATTAGAAATGAGCGAATTCAAGTAGGCAGACTTGTTGCTTGAGTGTAGCAGAGGATTAGTGTTTTAGGAGTCACATAGTGTTCTTGAGAATTCCATCTTAGGACCCTCGGAGTTGAATGGTGATACGGGAAAGTTGAGCTATTCCGAATTAGCTCATTTTTTAGTTCTCAAGGAAGTTTTTGGTGAAACATTGGTGCATGAACTCTACATCAGGTCTTTCAATCAAATTATGAAAGGTAAAAAGGCTTGCATCTCCGCATTTACTTGCCAATAAGTTCGAAGTGTTAAATGTATCATCAGGGTGCTGTTTAACAAGTTTTCAAGGTGGTTGGGGCGTACGGAATGACTGCAATGATCAAACAGATTCAAGCTTGTTAACAGTTCGAGGGAGACCACGGGGCCTGTTTGGTAGCCTGTAATTGGACTGGTCGCAACTACAGTTTGCATACGATCGAATCATTTTTATTTTTATCAGTTATAAGTGTTTGTTTTATTGCAATTCAATAGTTGCAGGCGTGATGCATTTCCCTTAAAACTGCAACATGTGATTTACCTTGAAAAATGGTTGCAATACTTGCAATTTGGAAGACTATAGCCCTTATTAAGTCGCAATTGCGGTTACAGCCTACCCTACTCAAATAAAATCTTAAACGGGTTTCTTAAAAAATCAAAAAAACTTTCTAAAATATAATAGAAAATTGTCAGATCTTTTGTTATTAAGAAAAACCCGCGTCACTTATTTTCTTGTGGAAATATTTGAATGCGAGCGTCCAAGTCAACGATTCATATGCTTTGGAACGTCTAGGAGAGAGGCAAAGCTTGTTGAAGCTCCTACGTCAAAGACTGTTCTAGCAAAACATATAGTGAATCTTCGTACTACTGGGGTCTTTCTCATCTTTATACTACCATTAACCCAAAAAAAAAAGTTGGATTCTTCAAAGAAGGGATCTCTGAGACGCACTAGCTTCTTTCGTTCCTGGTATCCAGCCAATTATTGTATCCAGACGCCCGTTTGTTAATTAGATAGCTCTCATCTGCACCAACGTTTGAATTGCCATGTTTCTGTAAATGTATCAAAGGGATATGAGGAGTTATGGATTGCATGAAACTTCGGAAACGTCGACATAAGCATGTTTTCTAGCTAGCTAACTTAATCTGAATCGATATTACTTGAATCTTGGATACCATTAATAGCAGACTTCTGATAACCTTTTGAAGGCGTACGTGTAGCCTCTCTGAACGAGCTCCTCCAGGTGAAGATCGAGTCACGCTAAAACCACAAGCGCTCACCGAATGAAACACCAATACGTACGGGGATGTTCAGCTCCTCGATCGGCGACCTCCTGCAGAGCAAAATCCATAAGCCGATTGTATATAAGAAAACTAACGTTCGGTATCTCTGACGAGCTATTGAGCCTCATCACGAATATCACCAGCAGCACGATATGGTCATGTGTGTTATATACTGAGCCTTGAGATGTGAGTATGGTTTATTTGCTGGATTCAGTGATGATGAACGTGACGTATACGTAAAAGCCTTTGGAATGGAGGAGGAGCGGGGCTAGTTGAAGCTAGCATGGGTTTGCCATTTGTTTTGGATTTGACGGTTTGAGCTTCAAAGCAAGCCTTTTTAAGTGCTGCTCTGGGTTGCCAAACATTAATTAACAGGGATTTTCAAGATACGTAGCACATCAAGATAGCCTTATCCCTTAAAGAATTTACTATTAATCAGCAACTTGCTATTGCATTATTGCTTTAAAAAAAATGGACGAGTTGCATTCTTTTTAGGGAAAGGGAAGTGGATTTATAAAATGTAAAATGGAAGTGGAAAGTGGGGAAAAAAAGATTCCCAACGAATTTCTTGAACAACCTACTTCTTAAACTATGATACCGCCAAAAAATAAAAGAAAGAATATATACCTGTAAGTTTTAAAAACATTAGGGTATAAAAATACCGGAAGAAATTGTCATTATATATAAGTGCAAGTTTTAAGAACTTTAGGATATATAAATGCCGCTAAAATAAATGAGGGTATATAAATACAAAACAGGGGAAACTATAGGACAGTTAAGTGCAATTAAGCCTAAATCTTATTATCAGTACTCTTCAATGAAAAAAGCTAGGAGGAGTATTCACGCTGTCATTACTCATGTGAGTTGTGATTCATGCTTCAAGATTTGAACAGGGTTTATATGATTGGGTACAGAGAAGAGGGAAAGAATGATGGATTTCTTTGAGAGGCTTCGGTAATGGATGGGGGGGTTATTTCTGTGTTGTTTTCTCAAGGAGAACACTCTACCTTTTATAGAGGCCAAGCCCATCATCTTCACCCCTCAAAAGCTGACTCTAAGAAATTTTCTCTCAACAACCCCACTTTCCTACTATTCTCTCAACTGAGAATAGTTAATTTGGTCACACAAGACCAAATCAAGATAGCATCTCCTAAATGACCAAATTAACCAAGTGACACGCCTCCCATAATCAGTGAGATCAGATGTTTCTTCTTACCATTACTCCAACTATTCATAGAGAGTAACTCTTATTTTATTATTTATGAAATTTTACTTGGACCTATTTATTCGTAAGTCCCATCAAACTTACATGTTTGATAAAAGATTCTGCTGATATTCCTTTTGTCAATGGATCAACAATCATATCTATAGTAGGGATATAAGTCACTTTAATTTTTTTTTCTACAATATCTCGAATATAGTGATACTGGATCTCAATATGTTTTTCTTTGGAGCTATTCGTACCACTATTGATTAAGCTAATTGCTGCTTGATCATCACAATAAATATCAATATGTCCTTTTAACAAATTGAGATCTAGATCAATCAAAAACCGTCTTATCCAGACATCATGTGTAGTTTCCATACTGCAATCTATATATTCAGCTTCTTGCTTGTAAGTTGTATCTAGCAACACACTCTTATTTCTTGCTACTCCAAGAAATAGCTCCTCCTCCAAAGATGAACAAGTGTCTCGAAGTGGACTTTCCATCATCTTTATCGATCACCTTCGAAATCAGCATCAGAGTAACCGAGGAGATCAAGCAAATTGGCTTGAAAAACTAATCTATGAGTCAATGTACCTTTGATATACTTCATAATCCTTTTAATAGCTTCCTAATGTGCTGGTCCTGGATTACTTTGATATCGACTGACTAAATTTACAGCATAAGCTATATCAGGTCTGGTGCACAATATTGCATACATCAAGCTTCCAGTTGCTTGAGCATAAGGAACATTTAATGGATTTTGCCCCTCTCTAGGGTTTTGCTCTTTACATAATCTCTTTCCCATGACCAACGATATTGGCGTCAGATTGGAATTCTCCATTCTGAACTTTTTAAGAACTGATCTTAAATATTTTTCTTGGTTTAAACTTAGCATTCTAGACTTTCTATCTCGAATTATTTAAATTTTAAGAATATATGATGCATCTCCCATGTCTTTCATCTCAAACTTTTCGCTGAGATATGTCTTGATTTTATTCAACATTTCTATGTCATTTCCAGCAAGCAATATATCATTCACACATAAGGATAATATAATAAATTTGCTCTCACTGCATCATGAAATTTGAGATACCATTGTCTAGAAGACTGTTTTAAACCGTATAGAGATTTTATTAATTTATAAACTTTATGTTTATGTCCTTTTACTTGAAAACCTTCAGGTTGTTGTATATATATCACTTTCTTCAACTCTCTATTAAGGAATACAGTTTTAACATCCATTTGGAATAACTCCAAATCAAGATATGCAACAATAGCCAAAATAATTCTAATTGATGCAAATTTAGCTACAGGAGAATATGTCTCCTGAAAATCTATTCCATCCTTCTGGTTATAATCCTTGGCAAGCAATCGTGCTTTGAATTTATCAATAGATCCATCACCACGATATTTCTTTTTAAGTACCCATTTGCATCTTATGACTTTTCTATTTTCCGGTAGATCATATAACTCCCATACCTTATTCTTCTCTATAGAATCAAGTTCTTCTCTCATGGATTCTAGCAATAAAATTCATTCATATGATTTCATCACATCAGAGAAGATTTAGGGATCTTGTTCTTCTATATTTGTATCTACTGAGAAACAGGATGGCTCACATGAATATAAATAGTAATCATCCATCCATGAAGGTTATGTTCTTGGTCTTTTGTTGCCTACAACCGATTGATGAGGTACATTATTTTCCATAGGTATTTTATCATTTTCAATGTTAGGTTTATTCACAATATCAGGGTCATTAGTGGGAATAACACCGTAATAATCATCATCTATTACAGTTAGAGGTTCTGTTTCCTCTCGAACTTGTTCCTCTTCCTCTAGGTTTTCTAGAAATGTAGCATCTCTACTTTCAATGATCCATTTTTTTTATTATAGAACTTATAACCTTTTAGCTTTTCTGAATACCCCATGAATCTACACTTTATTGTTCTAAAATCTAACTTATCTCTAAGTTGATATGAAATGAGAACATGGGCTATATATCCCCACTTCCTGAGATGACTCAGATTAGATTTCCTCCCATACCATAATTCATAAGGTGTAGACACAACTAATTTGGTGGGAATTCTATTTAAAATATAATTTACAATTAGCAATGCTTCTCTCCAAAAGTTTTTTGAAGAGACCAGAATGAGACAACATGCATCTACATTCAACAATGTTTTATTCTTTTTTTCAGCAACACCATTCTGTTGTGACATATATGACATTGTTGTACGCCTGTTAATTCCATGCTGAATACAATAACTTTCAAATTCTTTAGAGTTATATTCCTCACCTCTATCAGTCCTCAAAATTTTAATTTTTATTCTAAGTTGGTT